GCCAACCTTGCTATAGTGCTTCCCCCTCTTTCTTGTAGCTTTGTTAAATTGTGACGACGAATTTTCGGCTGTCTTTTCTTGAAGAAGGTGATATCATTTGCTGTCTTTTTTTTTAAGAAGGTGATCTTGAGACTAATTTCCCTCGCCCAGCAGTTTAGCTCTTCTTTGTTTCCCGTCTTTTTCATAATAATTATTCAAGCGGCGATGTACATCAAAAGCTTACCATGTCCTCTCATAGGTTTCGTATTGGGTTGAATATCATATAAGACTCTTCGGGTTATGGGTTGGCTATCTTTATTGTTGGTGTCATTTTCTTCTTGGCTTACATCGTTCCATCTACCGATTCATGCGTAGCTCTTGCCTCATTCCTTTGTGGTTTTAGAGGTTGAGTTTCTCCAGAGTATGCTACATCGTTGAGTGCTTCCATTTGTTTTACGTTTTTGGCTTTTTCGGTTTGGATTGGGATTGTATCTTTCGGTTTTGGTTCCTTTGGTTTTCGGTATTTTTCTTGGGCTTTGATTCCCTTATTGGGCTATTGGTTCTTGACAAATTCGTATCGTTGTTGATTGGCTACGGATGGGTTAATCCTTTACCGGCCTTGGTCCTCTGTGTATCTTCCGAATTCATTAATAATTTCGAGATGACAAAAAAAAAACAACACATTTAATCATTAAATTAAATATACATAAAAAATAATAATATCATCTCAATTACTCCCTCATAAAATTTTAATAATCAAATTTTCCAACAAAAAATTTAACATTTTCTATGTCAACAATGGCACAGTCTCTTATATGATGAATTTAACACAACCATGTACAATCTAAACCCATTAACACTTCTAACTCTATCCTCCATAAAAGGGTTCAATGAGTAGCTTCATGTTAGATAGCTTCTCCCCTCTCCTCAACCCCATCTCTACATTTACATTTGTTGCCTTTTTGTTGTCAAAATCGTAAATGTACAAATTTCATAAGGGATTTTTACAAGGAATGCCATAATAACCCTAAAAAGTTTTGTAATATGTATTTTGTAATGCATTTTGAAGACTACCAGTTCACGAACTCAAAAAGACCATTGCACCCCTACATCAGTCTCAACAAGAAAATTGGTTCATGTGCGTGTAGAAATGATTTGTGGAAGGAGTTTTGGAATGAAAGCAGTTTCAAAACGTTTATCACGGTTTTGTTGTGAAATTTAATTATTTATTATTAACTGATAAGACTTTTGGATCGATAGAAGTAGCTCTTAGTTTGTAAGGTTTTCATGCCGATGTCGGACGGTGGATGACAACTAGTGCAGAGGAGATAAAGGTATGAGAAATATATCTGTGTGAGGATTGTCGCATTTACTAATTGTGTAATGTTGTTGTTTCTATTTTAGTCTGACCCATACCAAACTCTGGTTATTTAATACAGTGGGTTAAAGTGAATAAATGGAGGTTGTTGGGAAGAATCAATAATGTTGGAGACAGTGATGATTATCGTGTTTGGGGGGGGGGGATGGGAGGCCAACACTTAATGACGAAAATGTCTAAAGAAAAGTTCGAGCGTGCGACTGATGGACATTGATCGGGTGAGGAACATATGGTGGACGTTAGTGTGTATGAGCCTTACGTGGAACTTTTGTCTCTGTCGATTAATGTCCCTCTGACAAACGAAGAGAAGGGTTTTAAAAAGCGATGGACAATAATAGAATGAAAAGCAGCAAACATAAAAGCTGCCATGGGAGAAAACGAGAAAAAAAACCTAAATATCCTTCTAGTTACATATGACAGAAATTAGTTATCTTTCGTCTTGGAAAAGGAGAAAGTAACGGAGTACGTGTGTGGATAACCAAAAAATGATAAATAAATGACATAAGGCCACTAACAAAATGCCTTTGTTCGAATGAGCGAGATACAACGTCTCGAACAGTACTTTAAATTTTGAAAAGCAAAGCTGACTTATGATAAAAAAAAATAAAGTTTTACCCTATGTAAATCAACCTAGGTTGCAAGCACAACCA